TGCGTGCATGTACCAGCAGCCGTTCGAACACAGCCAGCATAACGGTCATGAGCACCATTGTTTGAAGGTAGCTTCTAATCGAGCTCGAAATTAAACAAGTACTCCCTTCATTTTTAAATATAAGTCTTTATAGGATTTCAATACAAACTACATACGGCTGTATATAGACTTTTTTAGAGTGTAGATTCATTTATTTTACTTTATATGTAGTCCTTAGTGAAATATCTAAAAAGACTTATATTTAGGAACAAAGGGAGTATTACTCAATCCTATGCGGCCGCGGTTACGATCGCCTGCAGCTGTAGTGGTGAGTTGCTGTCGCTGCAAACGTTGGTCGGCAGGAGATAGTTTTCTGTATGAAGAAAATGGGGCAGGCAATTGCATCATTCCACTTGTGGTTCCATTCAAGGCGTGATCCTCTTGTTCAGGAAAATCAATTGTAACGTCTGAATTCATTAGGGTTAGAGCATCTTTAATCGGACTAGCTAATTTGATCATTTGTCCACAGACACGGCTGTCTGGATGTGTCTGCTTAAAATTTTCATTTGTCCGTACACGACAACACGTAGTCGTGTTCTTCAAATTGTTCGGCCATATTCATGGGGATAACGGAAAGAGATAGAAAAAAAGAAAAAAAGATTGAAAGTGCTGTGAGATGGGCCGCGACTAACGTGATGGGTTTCTAGACACGCCGGGACACCCCACTTACTACCCACATATGAGTTGATTTAGGAGCTCCAATATCCCCATGGATCAAGGCGATCAAGAAGGAGGATGAGGTTGGCCCCTTAAGGGTGATAATGTCGAGTCGGACGATGCAGTCCACGACGACGAGGATGATGACATTGACTGGAACGATCTTCAGCGCTCTAGTCATGAGTAGTTGTTTGTACTCTATGTTTATATTTATTTCTTTGTGACTCCCTAAAACTGATTTTGAGTGCCCTATTTTTATTTTATACATGTCCTGTTAGTAATGCTATTACGTCTTCTCAGTGGCCTGTAGAGGAATGCTTAAGCGCCCATCTTAATTCGTTTTGTTTGGACTGTAACTAATTTAACCTTAACTTCTCTTATTTTTTCAAGAAGAATTTGACCTCAGTTGCAAGCGAGTTGGTGGCCTGAACATTCTCTCCTGGCGGATGCGCGTGCAATGCAGGAACTGGTAAATGATTCCTACGTACGCCTGCACTAATCATTACTCGATCATTGCAGCATTATTTATTTTGTGCACGCACGCACGCACGGATCGGAATGGAATGGATAAAGCCGAGAATTTTGGAAGACTGCACGCCTCTGGATTCAGCGGTTGACGTCCGTGCGGCGCCGAAAGTGCACGACATTTCTCTATTCAGCCTCCCTTGCACTCCTGCTACTGCTCCAAGCTGTCCACGCATTCAACTCACGTTTACACCGGACTGCATCCCGGCACAACATGCTCGCCGCTTAATCCATACATCTAGATATATGGATGTATCTAGATGTATTTTAATTTTAGATACATACATTTTTGCGACGAGTAATTTGGAACAGAGAAAATACATCGTAACGTCGGCCGGATCGACTCACACACACATAGGAATGTGTGCGTGTTTCGTGTGCGAGACGCACTCACATTCGTAGACGGCGCGGTCCATTGTTTCTCACTATCTCACTAGTGCGTGGAATTGTGCAGGGGCGTGTAAATGTGTAATTGTGCTGTCTTAGGGCATCCAAAGATGACCCGCAAACACCGGTATATATCCCATCAAACACATTTGTTCACTATTGCAATATGATGGGAATCTGTATCAGTCCGTGATGCTATCCGGACATCCAAATTTCGATACTTTAGAGACAATTGTGGAAAGTTTTGTCCGAGTCCGAACATGCACTTAACAATCACTTGCATGTCCCTCTCTCCTCTCCTTCCAACCGCACATGCATGGTGACCGCACATTTAATCAGAGATATCCGATCACATGCATGCCTACTAACTCCTCCTAGCCGGATACTTTGTAATTAGTGTTGGATGGCTCCCTTCCGTATTATGTCCGCGAACCACATCTGGACATAAACACAGACATATACCAGATGAATTTGCGGGTCGACGTTGCAGATGCCCTTAGTAATCTCTAGCTGAATTTCTATAAGTGTTTAACTTCTTAAAAGATGTTATTTCAATTAAGCAAAAACCTAAATCAGCCGGATCCTGGAAGTCCGGTCGGAGAAGGCTCTACACACTCTTCGACGGCGATAAATATACCAATGGAACGGGAATAGGGTGGGAAGACCATTTTTTTTCATACCTACACCAGGCCAACGTTGTCGACTTGCTGCCCCCAAACCAAACATGAAGGTTCCCTGAAGCAAACATCAAAAACAAGAATTTGTGCCGCAGCGTGATAGGTCTGGATCTGATGTCAAGCGCAGCGCAGCCTAGGACCTTGCACTGATGCCCTCTTCTCGGGTGACCTAGCCAGTAGCCAGGCTAGGCCGCCGTTGAAGATCATTGCCATGGATCCCTCCGACCGTCATAGGCTTCACCAACGCCACTCGAGCACCACCTGATGAAGACCGGCAGTCGAGCCATCATCTCCTTCGTCGTTCACAGTAATACCTCCAAGCAAGCCACCCTTGATCGGAGTCGTCCCCCTCGTCACTGCCGTGCGGCCACCACGTGGGCTTTGTCTGGGGACATGCCCAAGCGGCTGCAAGAGGGGTGGGTGACGGTTGCAGCTAGGGTTGTCAATCAGTGCCTTTGCCCTTTCTCTTTTGCGAAGCATTATATAGCAACTAAACCCTCATTCGGCTTAACTCCTCAATAAATTGAAGAGAACTATCCATCGTCGCTCAAATTTGAATAGTCGGAAGTTAAAACCAACTCTCAGCAAAAGATTAGTTTTCTCCTGCCGCTCTCTCTCGCTCGGCCGCCTCCCAGCATGTAGCCCCCCTCCCGACACCCTGTAGCTCGGCGGATCTCCTGCCCACCTTTATTTAACTCACCAGCCATTGGCCAGGAGCTCAGAGACAACAATGGCCACCGCGGAGCCTCGTCTCGTCAAAAATAGAACCATCGGACGAGACGATGGCGTAGAGCCTGCAGTCAAGCTAGACGGCGCCGATGTCTGCAGACAATCCCCTCATCTCCATCGTAAAACAGAAAGTTTCACGCGGAAATTTTCCAAATTAACATATTTGATTTTTCGTCTATTATATGGCACATCTAGATGTACCTAGTTATTGCACATTAAGTGATTCAATCAAACCAAAAAAGATTATTTTTAAGAAAATACACGTACGAGTCTCCTCATAAAGTCTATGATATATTATTTATGGGTGTGGCTATGTCTCAATCGACTGATACTTAAACTAGTCTCAGTCAAGTGACATATATGTAAAAAGTACAAAAGAAAAAACTAAAAAAAGTTGTAAGAATCTCCATGCAAGATCAAAGGAATATAATATTGATTGAGACTTAGCAAAACTGATGGTTTTGATGTGCAGTACTTAGGACATATCTCGATGTACTTTAGCAGATGGCAACTTTTAGTTTTCGTTGTGTTTTGTTTTATTTTTCGGATGGCAATTTTAGTTGTAAAAACGTCAAGACGACATTACTTTTAGTTGTAAAAACGTCAATTTTAGTTCTCTAGATTTCGTTGTGCAGTACTCAGGACATATCATTTGGATTGTTTTAGTGCAGGTAACCAGATCCGAAACCTGAAGGGTAAACACCAACTTGACTCTTGACAACGCTGAGCAGAGGAGCCACTATAGCGATCATTGACGAGAGACACAGAATCGCGCCGTCGGCAGCGAGGAGCGGCCGTGTCGTTCGGTCCGAGATTCACCGTCGCGCCCTCTGCGCATAAGCATCGACCAGCCACGAGAAAACGCAGAAACAAAACCCACGTCGGTGACAGCGCCGTCGCCTTAGCGTGTCAGCGTGTGGCCCCGCCGCGTAGAAAAAGCGGCACCGACCATGTCCCCCGTTGTCCTCTCTCTCAGTCTCTCGCCTAGCTCGCCAACCTCCGGCGGGCCCTGGGTCGCGTCACCCTGACGCGACGAGCAGAGCACAGGAGACGACGCCCCGCGACCGCCAGCTCGCGTCCGCCCCCATTAACGCCGACCCGACCTCGACCCGCCCCCATCGCTCCTCGTTCATGCCCGCCGCGCACGCAAAGCACAGTGAATGCATGCGTCGGTATCACCGCGTGTCCGGCCGGCGCCGCCGCTCGTGCCGCCTGCGCAGTGGCCCGGTGGCGGCGACGGCAGATGTTGCTGCGACGACGCCCACTCGCTGATCACGTATAGACGTACAGAACAGTTGGGTCGCGTTCGTCGATCACAGTATTCGGCACGGTGCCGCGGGAGCACGTCTACATGCACATCTGGACCGGACTGGTTAACCGCCAGCGGGAACTTGCAAGATTCCATCCATCCACCACGACCGAGAACTCTCGAGTCTCCTCTCCACACCCGGCCAGCCGTTCGGTTTCCTCGGCGAACTGAACGCTCCTACTCCTATACTTTTGCTAATAAGGCATGGCCGTGCGCGTCGGGTCCCCGTCGCCGGTCGTCCCAGACATGGAACGCGACGGCGACGCGGGTGGGAGTGGGGGTGCACCCTGGCACCGTGCACGGTGGGGGAAGCTACCTTCGAGCGCAAGAAGAGCATCTAGTTCTGCCGTCCTACGTCCATGCCGCGTCACCCTCGGCCTCGGGCCCCGCCGCCGGCTTCTATGTATAGCGGCCTCAACTGGACGAACGGCCTCGCATAGGTTACTTCTAGTAGGCCACGACCACCACCCAACCGCTCCCGTCGATCGATCCGTCAGCTCTATCATCATCTGAGTTGCCGCCGCCGCTTGCCGCCCATCGGTCCAGCTCACACTGACCGCTACGTCTCACTCTCTCCTTCCTCTCCCTCAGCTAGCTTGTGATCACCACGCGCGCCCGCCCTCAGCTCCTTTTAAGCGACGGCCGGGGCATGCGCTGCTCTGCTCGCACCGCAAAGGATGGCTCCAGCTTCCGCCTCCCTCCTCCCCGCCGCCAGCTCCAACGCCGGCACCAAGCGCCCCTTCGCCCCGGAAGATTCCGACGCTACTGAACTTCCACGGGCACTCCCGCAGGTCAGTCACTGCTCTGCTCACTGCGTACTTACATGACTATATGTACGGCAACTCCACCTACTGATGCGCGCGCGTGGTGAACTGGTGATCAGGTCCAGGAGAGCGCGCCGGGCAAGAAGAACGGCAACGGCCAGAGCCAGCAGCAGCAGCCGAAGCTGGAGTGCCCGCGGTGCAGCTCCACCGACACCAAGTTCTGCTACTACAACAACTACAGCACCACGCAGCCGCGCCACTACTGCCGCACCTGCCGCCGCTACTGGACGCAAGGCGGCACGCTGCGCAACGTCCCCGTCGGCGGGGCATGCCGCCGCCGCGGCAGCAGCAAGCGCTCCGCCGAGCCCCAGACGACCTCCTCTGACTCGCCGCAGCCGGAACTGCACGAGACGCGCCCTCTCTCCAACCACCCGCTCCCAGTCTTCCCGTTCCTCACCGAAGGCGGCCCTGTCTTCCTGCCGCAGTTCGATCTCGGGCTCGGCGGGTTCCCCTGGACACCGGCGACCACGGACCACCTCTACAACGGGCTCGCGGCCCCGTGGGGTGGCTGCGACCAGGCGCTCGCCCCCACCGGCGCGTGCGACGACTTCGGCGGCCTCGAGCTCGCCTGGCCACCACCGCCACCGGCCGGGAACTGATCAGCGTCATCATGTCAGTCAGTGTTTCGCCAGCGCGTTCGAGACTCCTGTATGCATGGGATCGAGGCATAGTGCTACTAGTTTGTATGGGAAATTGTGCGTCTCCTGTTGGTAGATATCTTTTTTGACCACACTATAATTGTCTGATTACCTAGCTCGATGCGTTTCAGGTTATATTTGCATGTGGATGTAGAAAGTTCATGAGATGTACGCAAAAAAAAAGTTCATGAGATACAGTTGTTAAGTACTTTTGTTTTCCCTCCGACTTGCAATGTTTTGGTGCTCTACATATCGATAGATATCACTAGAAGAGATAGTGGTATTCTTAACACATCGGGGTTTAAGTATTAAATTTGACACTTGTGCTCATAATATTTTCGGATTTATTTTAGTCTTGTCGACGGTCGTGCGTTTAGAGTAGATGTTTCGATCGACTACAAAGACGTTTATGACAACTTCATCAATCTTAATATAATATGTCACCTCAGTCTCTCAAGATACTTAAAAGGGTAGATCATGCATGTGTGTTCACAGAGATGAATGTATGTATATCAACGTCTGCGTCTATATTATATTAAAAAAACTAGATATCACTAAAAAGATCACACGTTGCCATGTACTTGCACGTTAGCCGAGTGTAAAAACACGTGTTATCAAAATGGTGTAAGTCGAGTACACACGTATGGCTCTCGGATTATATTTTCATTATTTCTTTCCTTTTTAAAGCAGGACACGCTTCGCCTCGCTTCTATTTACACTCAGCTTACGCTTGAGTTATAGATCATGGCTAGCCATGCACCCTGTTAGGATTTAAATTAATTGTATTATTTAGGGATAATTCTCCCTTGTAACTAGCGTGCGGTTTGCCTCCGGCAACCGTTCAAAGCATGCCCACGCCCCCGCGAGTGGATGCGTCCCTTCGTGGAGTTGGCGTCGGTTCCCTCTGTATTTAATCCTCTGGATCATCAATGAAAGCAAGAGTTCGATCAATTCGTTCTTCCACACGTTATCAGCACAGAACTCTACTGAGAGCGGAGCACAGACAAATCAACACCGGCGACTCTCGCCGGTAAAGCAGAAAGAAGAAAAGCAAAGGTAAAGAGAGATGCCTCGTGGTCTCCTCCTATCCTTCTTCCTGCAACTCCTTCGGGCCGGCAACCGTCGTCGTCAGGTTCGCCGCCGTTACCACGGCATCAGCGGACTTGAGAGGGCGTCGCCATGGTCTTAGACTTGGCGCCCGAGATCTTGGCGCTCGCCACAGTGCTGGACCCTCTGGTGCTCCGCCTGAACCTGCTATGCCGGACCGCTTCGATGTTACAGGCGGACGAGGTCTTGGAGCCCGAGGCCGATGCAATCAACGTCGACGCCGTCGGCGTTGAGCCGGATCTTGCGGCTCCTTCACCACCGCCCCCGTGCCCGGTGCACCGCTGGGGGCCATGCCCGACTCCGCCGTTGTCTCCTCCGCAGGACTACGAGGTCCAGGAGGAGGTCGAGCCCGCGCCACCAGCGCTGCCCGCGGAGCCCGCACAGCCAGACTCGCCGCGCCTTCCGTCGCCGATTCCGACGCACGAGGCAGTGGCCGCTGGGGCTTCTGCAGCAAGCTTCGGGCTGGGGATGCACATGCCCTCGCCATGAACATGGACGCCGGCGCCTCTTCGTCGAGCGCGAGCCTCGGGCTGCGCCTCCCCACGACGGCTGTTGCGCGCGGGGACGTCTTCGACAACGGAGCCGGCAGCTCCTCCGGTCCATCGGCGCCCGCCGCTGGCACATAGTGTCGCGCGCTGTCCTGCAGCACGCCGGTCGTCGGCCGGGACGATGGAGCCCGGTGAATCTTGGGCTGGCCAATGGCCACTACAACGGCGTCGCGTCAGGGGCGCACATTCCTGGAGGATCTTGTTCTTCAGAGGAGGAGCACGCTGCGCCGGGGCCTTCTACGCGCCGGTGAGGCAGCCACCGGCGGCGGAGGTTGGTGATGCTGGCTGAGACGCCCACCGCTTGAGTTGGATCTGGGACGATTTTGTGGATAGGAATGATATTCCCTCGCCCCCCTTATCCATCCCCTCGCGTGAGTGCGTACACGCTGTTGGACAGCCACCAGCCCACCACGTTAGCCACTGGCCCATGCGTACGTGCAGCAAAGAAAGAAAAAAAAAGAATCAAGAACGAAAATAAAAAGGTGGCACTAGCCACGGTAGTAGGTCATCCAGTTTTTGGCCTATTGCCATTATTTTTCGTTTTCTTTTCTGATTAGCTTTCTAGCTTTTTCAGTTTTTGTACATATGAACTATGCAATATCTGTTTATGAAATGTCAACATGTGTATGGATGCAATTTTTAATTGCTACATGTTGATTAGGCTTGAAAAGTATATGACTACTTTTAGTTTTTTGCACATATCTTATGGATTGCATTAAAGGCAATATATGCTTTGTTCACAACTATGAGGTCTACACCACGTGGTGATTACCTTCAAAGTGTTTTATAACACAAGGTTGTACAAAATACCATGAGATTAAGGTCTACACTACTTAGTAGTGATTACCTCAAAGCAAAAAATGAAAGCAAACATATTATGGCATGAAAATGGCCATACGAGTGTCTGCGCCACTTCGTGGTGATTACCTCTGTGTGTTCTACAAAACAAAGATCTACGCCATTTCATGGTGATTATCTTTTGTTGAAAGTCATATTATGGGTCGTTTAGGTTTTTCCTAGGCCTTTATGTGGATTAAGCATATCGTAGTAACGAAATAATTTTTGTTGGGCGCTATGATGTCTACATTATTGGTGACCACCTTCATGATTTTCAAATACTTGTCAATTTCATAGCATTTGTCATTGGTTGTGACTACACTGTCACATGCTCCATCAGGAGAGGATTCCAAGGCATTAGTGGCGACTATGCTACATATTATGCTATGAAGATAATTATGCAAAACACTTGCATATTTTGGTGATTACCTTCCATGAGTACACAATTTATGAGATGTGATCATAGCAACGAATTAAATTTCGCGCACAACTGAGAGGTTTATGCCACTCCATGGTCATTACCTTCATGTGTTTTGAATAACATAAGGTTGTGAAGAGGCTATGATTGATTAAAATGTCCATAAGAGTGAGGCACCACTAAGTGGTTGATTACCTCTATGTGTTTTATGGGAAATAAAGGTTTATTCTTTATGAGGTGACTATACCTTTAATTTGAAGATACATCTTATTGTGATGATTACCTTCTTATGAAGGCTTGCTCATGAGTCACTAAGAATCACCATGATCATGATTATGCTTAGCCATAGCATTTTCATTATACTTAATTTATTGAAGGTAAATTAATGCATGAGAATTTCATGCAATATATGGTTGACCTTTTTCAAAAGTAAATGCGATGTGATGACACAAGGTGGATGTCATGATTGAACATGGGTCTTGGACATCAATATTTTGTCGACTCGTGGCCTTGTCGCCACTGAAACTCCACCATAGAGAATGTTATGTCTATTTATAAATAGCTGAAATGTGCAAATTTGCATTTACGTGACATCGCAATGTCTTGGTTCTCAAACCGAGTATTTAATGGATGATGAATATCCATTTGCCCTTTTGGTACCACCTTAAGGAGAGATATGTTGTCATGAGCATCACACGAATGAATAATCATTTGTATTAAGGACTTCAAGTCTGTTGATGCTTATAATTCTGTTGTCTATAAATCAACACTAAGTTGAGATTATGTGATAAGGCATTCTTAGATCTTGATCTGATTGTATGTCCTTACTACACTTTACATCCTCATATGATGGTAAATAAACACCATCTTTGTTTCAGGGTGAAAATACGATGAACTTCTCATGAAGAGTCATCTGGTACAACCCCAATGGGTACTATACCATTACCTGAAATTTGTGCTAGTGCTTATAGTACTAAGCAATTTTGTGGCTAGAGTACCACGAGGAGTTGAATGTAAAGTGATAAAAAGATGAGAAGCAGAAATGGAGTATATATCTCGCAAAAGAATGTGTCATTTAAATAAATGATCACAATGACAACTCCCAAGTTTGTCAAAGGGCTGGTTGTACGGAATATCATACTAATGATTACCAAACTATGAGGTTTTGGGTTGAATCATGTCACCGACTCATTGGAGAAGGCGAATGAGTTTAATGAGATAAGTTTGAAGTTCTACTTCAAATGGACAACTAGAAAATATTCTGGTGCAGTAGAAGGAGTATGCATCCCTCTACATTGATGATATGCTTGTGGAATAACATTCACAAGATATTTTGGAGATCTTATGTAGTCTCCTAGTTAGCCTGAGATATCATTAGCCTATAAGTGTACTACTACATGTAGTATAATTTGCAACATCTTGTCCATGAGACATGATAGTTATGAGAAATTGAGTGTATGAATCAATTCATACTCAATATTGTTGCGTACACAATAATTTTTCCTCCTTTATCAGTCTGGTATGAGGACGATTAGAAAAATTATTGATAATTCTGTTGGCCGCAACATAATTGCAATGTTCCCGAAAATCGTAAGATTTTATGTGCACTCCATGTGGCATAGGGGAATTAGTTTTAAGGCACTCTCACCTTAAAATTTGATGCGCCACTCATTATTCTTGAACAGATTCAAGAATGATGCAGATTATTCAACCATTTGCTGGGTTATTTTGGTACTTCATGGTATTCATAGACACATCTAGATGGTGGTCTTAGGTGTGTATCATCCACACAAAACCACGTGTTTACTGAATTAAGTGCTCAAATTGACGAATTTGGAGCAAATGATCCTATGCATGGGATAATTCCATTGGAATGGATATTCATTGAATTTGATTCACGAGAATTCCATGGTTATATTCAGTACATCGTGTACCTACTCAGAATGGTGTGGCTAGATCTCTTGTCAAAGAGAGTCAAGTTGCATGGCCATTGCTACGGAATTGTAATTAACCAA